CCACTGGTGGCCACAGTACCATACCTTTCAGTAATGCTGCATCAGTTAGCTTGTTGTAAAGTGCAAGCCTAAAGCCAAACAGGTGGTTCAAAACAAAATAGGAGGTTTCTCTAACCTCTAATTTAACTGTGCGAGGTCCTGTTATTAATTAATAGATACCTTCACCAAGGACAGTTAAGAAAATCAGACAACTGCCAGCTTGCTTCCTATTCCTCTTGACTTCTTATTGGATAATTTTTATCAAGTGAGCTAAGCACACATTTTCCTGTAACTCAGTTATTCAGCAAAACGTCCAAAGCTACTTAACTGACGCAAAACAAACAAACGCAATAGCCCTGGTTGTGATGCTTTCCATTTAAAGGGACACTCCCTTCCTTTGGAGTCGTCTCCCTCCCGCCCCGCTCCCCGCCCCCCCCCCCCCCCCCCCCCACTGCACCAAGGGCTAGTCTGTTTAAAACAAACACATAAAAGGTCGACATTGAAATGGGTTAATGAAATAAGATGAATCAGTTAGATGAAGGACTTAATGTTCCAATAGCTACATTAACAGCCTCCCCCCCTCCCCATTTCAAGCTTCCAAACACAGCCCTTCTCTTGGGGCGATAGGAGGTGGAGGGGGGCGTCAAACTTGTGGAATCCCGGTTTTGTAAGGATATTGACATAGTGGATGCTTGGCAATTAAGCTAGAATTTCACTGCATCTCCTCCTTTAAAGGAAAAACTTTATTCTTGAGGGAGCCCACCTAACAATTTTATGTTCAATCATCTGCGAGAGCAGAACCAGGCTTTTCCTTTCAGAATCTAGAGTAGAAGCTTTATTTCACTGCAAGTTCTCTGTGACATTTTGCACTCTCGTGATTTAATGCACCACAGAGGATCTTTAACTCTTGGTCTACACCAGTGCAAATAAAGGTTAAATCTCTCACTAACCGTCATGAACTAGCCTAATAACTCACGAGACTATGGAAAAAGAAACCGAGAAAGCAGGTGTGCAGACTTGATTAAAACGTGCAAAACCCGCACAACCGCAGGCAAATGTACTTTATCCTCACATATCCCTAGTGCCGGCTGCGAGGACCGCAAGCAGGGGAACTTCTACCGCGCCAAATACACGATCCTGCGAGCAGGGCCTAGTAACACAGGGGCTTTTCTTCCGAACGGTGTCCCGACCGGAGCTTGCGCTGAATGCCGGGGCTCCTATTGGCCACGCACCGTGGGGGAGGAGGAGACTGGCGGGGAGAGCGACGGGAGGAGGGGAGAAGGGGGCAAGGCCTTTTCCTTGCCCCCTCCCGGCCCCCTCCGCAGGCAGCCGCCGGCGCCTCGTGCGTGGTTACTATGCAAATTGCAGCGATTGCGGAAATAAACAAGGGGGTAGGGAGAGGAGAGAGGGACTGCGAATCGATTGCAACTTCTGCAAAGTCTCGTACAATCCAAAGCACACAAGGCAAAACCAGAGAGAATCTGAGAACCAGCCAGCCCGGGTTGGATTGCTATCAAAAGAGGAGAGAGAGACAGTGTGAGAGGCAGAAAGCGCGCATTGCAATTGCAAAAGCCTTCTGATTTGGAGTTAAAAAAAAAAAAAAAATCTCCAAGAAGCCTGCAATTGGCCAACAGCTTTAAAAAAAATCTCTTCCGGGTTTTCAACGGTTCCAAGTTTATTTAGATTTTTTTTAATGCCAAAAAAGGGGGACAACAAATGAAGCAATTCGTCTGAACATTTTAAAGTTTCTCACGTACTCTTTTTACATTGCAATGGTACGTGGTACATCTTAAACTTTCTATTTTGCGTTTATACGATGTGTGTTTTATAAACAACAATAATGGTAGAATGATTTTGTTTAAATGGCTAGGACTTTAAAATTTCTCTGGCTTGCATATGCATTTAAGTGATTGCTGGGTGAATGTCTATTGTGATGGTTTTGTTTTAAAGACGTAGCTTTGTGGATGGTTTTTTGTTTGTTTTTTTTGTTGTTGTTGTTGCTATGTGCATCAGAGACCGGGTTTCCTTTTTTCTTTCCCCGAGATTTGAAAAAATTGCTGAGCTTGATAGATTTTTTTCCTCCTAGCGCTTGCTCGGTTCCAGAAAGGGGGAAAAAAATCCTGTACGTGCTCTGTTCTGTAAAAAGACGTCTGGCCTCAGCAGTCAACCTAACTCGAAAAGAGATGTCTGGACCCGGAGAATAATTGACGATTCGATCCTCTAATCAATGGGACAACATGGGAGATTGACAAAAGCTTTATCCAATCATGAGGAGGCTTGGGTGTACAGTGGTTCTCAGTAGCCAGAGGGGGCGGGGCAGAAAAGATCTGAAGTTCTCTGCGGCTCTGAAGGGGATGGTGTGGTTCAAGCTGTCAAAGCTACAAGCTCTTCCGGATTTAGCAAGCACAATAGGAAAGAGTTTTTGAGTTTAAGAAAAAAAAAAAAAAAACCTGGGGAATTTTTGCATGAATTGTAATGCCTTCTTAATTGCCTTTCCAGAAAAAGTTAGAAAAATTCTTCTAGAGAAATATTAACTTTGCATTAATTATTATATTTTAAATTCAGGGAAGCTGTTAACTGTTGTGGAATGGGAGATTCAACTTTTAAAAATGCATGGCTTAAAAACTTGCCTGAACTACAGGACGGTATTGAGCTTTGGGAAGTAACATACTGAATACGCAGCATTGCAGAACTTCCCTGGTTGTCTTAGAAGCTTTGACTTTTCAAGTACTTTGAAGGAATAGGCATGCCTCTCTTCTTGAACTCTAAACAACAGTTTTAAGGGAGAGAGAATGTTTCACAGGTGGACTGACAGCTATTTTATACATTTGAAAGGAAGAGGGGGAGAGAGTGTTTTGTCCCCACTTTTCTTGAATTCTGCTCTTAAATATATGATCAGTAGCAAATAGGATATTAAGACTGGCCAAGTTCACATTTGTTCTTGTTACCACAACAACCCCTGTAGAGGGTGTGTGTGGAAGATTGCTGACTTGCTAACTCTTAGTTGGAGTCTGGCCTCTTGGACAAGTCTTTGATACCAGTCCAGTGGAAACCAACTGCAGTAGCTTGTCTTGGAGACAGTAACTGGCAGCCTCTGACTAAAGCATATCCATCTCTTCCTTCCCTCTGAGCACTGTAGACACCTAATTCTGTTGGGAAGTGAATGGAATATAGTATGGGCTCTTTCCCATCTTTGGATTAAATTCCCATCGAGCTATTTCCCAGGGCTTTAGGCCTTTTAATCAAATCTGGTTTGGAAATTTGACATTAAAATCCACTTGGATGCTCAGTTCAGTGACATTATTCAATTTAGTATTATATGCATCTAAGAAAAATCTGCACAAAAGTGACCAGTAGGTCAAAAAACTAGAGAAAAAGATTGGAAAATGCTAGTGATAAAGTTAGGCTTGGTAAGAACTACAGAGTTAATGGCATTGTCACTTACGAACCCCAGTTTTATCTTCACTGCTTTGGGCATTAAAATCTAAATCATATTAATAAGATCTTCCTATCAAGTAACCTCCAAAATGAGAGGTATTTGAGCTGTACATATAAGTGAAACCTTATTGACGTAATTTATATATCTAAGAGGATTTCACTAAAGCTGGCAAGGTAACATTTCTGCAAATAAAACACAGTAAATGCAAGGCTGGGCTCTGTGCCAGGAAGAATATGGATAGCAGAGAGCATGACAGGAGCCTCCTTTGCGCAAAGACAATCCCATTTCAAGGCAGCCTCCTAGCACTTGCAAAATAAATGATTGGAGCGGTTATTTCCAATAGGGGTTTATCCTTCCTAACAATGGGTCATTTATATGATTGCAGTAAACTAGTTTTTGTACTTCACCTGTTTCCTACAACTGTTCTTCTATCCTTTCTTCCTTCTCTCCTCCTTCCACCCCTGCTCTCTCTCAAGTGTCTTAGTGTCTTTGTGAACTCTGGACAAGGATTTACTTTTGCAACTTGGGAAGAGGGGAAAGAGTTGGAAATGTTTTTTACCCCCAGACTGCCCTTTGAGGAACATCTGTTTCTTTGTGTGTGTGTTTAAATTTATGCCTGTTGGAGAGAAAGTTACCAGAAGCCTTTCTGTAACTGTAACTCTTCTACTGTATTTTTCTCAGTCTTGTTTCCAAAGGCTGTAGTTGGAACTGTGCTTTGTGGTGTTTCCCCCGCCTCCCCCCCACCCCCATCCCGCGGGGGAGGGAGCGGGAGCTGGCGGAGATAGGAGAGAAAGCAGGAGCGGATGTGAAGGGCTTTGGTGCTGAACTTGGATCCAGCCCTTGCCTAGAGGGCGCAAACAATCGTCCCATATCCAAAAGTCTTACGAAGGGCGCCAAAAGTTACTTAAGATAATATTGCTAACCGCAGAAAGCTGGAAATCGCGGGCACATTCACTGCTGCAACAAAAGAAGTTTTTAAACTAGAAATATCAGCATTAAATTACTTTTCCCTATTTTTAAAAACCAGGGCGATGTGCCAGTCCTTTTTTAAAAAAAAAAAAATCCTTTTCTTTTTCTTGAGATTCAGTTAAAAGTAAGAATCTTTCTTGTTTTGGAAAGAGGCAAATGTGAAGTCTATCTTTTAATACAGCAAAAGAAAGATTTTAATCTGCTCTGGAAGAGAGCTTCCCAAGAGTACACATGGAACAATAACTTCTCACTGTGCCTCAGTTACATGTTGGGACCGTCAGCCAGAAACTTCTATCGAGGAAACTTGGAGCGAGTTGAAGTTATAGATCCCAGCAAAGGTTTTCATGGCCAGGGAAGTTGTCTCTGTAACTCGGCTTAGCTTTTAGGACATTTCTCTTCTACTGAAATTGAAGAGGAACCAAGGAAAAGCAGTTGTTTAGTTGGGGAAAATGGGACTCTCTCATTAAAGATTTAAGTCATTATCTCCCCTTGCCCCTTAAAAAATAATTTGAGAGATTTCCAAGGATATTTAGGAGCAGGGTGTGTGAAGATGGTCTCAAGCATTCAGAAATTATTTTAGCCATAAAGTAACTGGAGAGCAGGCATAAAATGATTTTAGACAGATGCAGAATATTTCAGAGGACTGTATTTTGCTTTCTCCAGTAACATTTTTCTTGCCCCTTACTTAAGAAGGGGGGTGTGTGTGTGTGTGCGGTGGAGGAACGTAGTCTGAATGAGAGTGGCCTTAGTAGGTCACCTCACACTCACGTGCAGAGTGGGCATTCCTACAGGAGTTTCCTCTTTTCCGAGGCTCTCTGGCTATGTAACCTCTCCCAAGGTGCAGATTCCCCTGTCTGTGTGCCAGTGCCTTTCACCCTGATCTTTCCTTTTGGAATTTTGAGAAGGATTCGCAAGTGCAGCAGGCTGCAAACTAGAGTTAGGAAGAGGAGGAGGAAGAGATGGGCTGGGGGTCAGGAGGAAGAAGGGTTTTTTTTGTTTGTTTGGTTTCTTTTTCTTTTTTCCATCAGGGAGGAAAGCCTGGAGAAAAAAAAAATATGAGGTTAAAAAAACTGGAAAAGCAGGCTTATTGGCAACTTGCCAAACCCTAAAAACCACCCCCCTTTTCTGCCAAAACAATACTTTAGCAAACCTAAAATAATTGCAGGAAGCTCTTTTCCATTTTAAGAACGGTTACCTGGGGGAGGAAAAAAGAGGGGATTCTTAAAAGGCACCCTTCCAGAGGTGTCCCAGGAACAGGGACGGTAATGAGAGCCTGTGTCCAGTTTTGGGCACGCGTTTTGTGGACCAGAATATCTCTCTTCCCTTAGGGGACATCCCTTTCACATTTTTTTTTTTCCTCCTAAAAAGAAAAAGATGTCACAGCTAAACCACTGTTGTTTCTAAACGTGATAGAACTTTTTCTATGGCGTCTGTGTTCAGACCCACTAGTTTCACAGTCCTGGGAGGGAGAACGCTCATTAATCTCCGCCTCCTTTTCTCCAGACACCCCCCCCTCACCCCCCAAATCCGGTGACTCTTCTGTGTGAAATTATTCCCCACCACCCCCGCTTCTGAATGCCACAGGACTGAAGCTGCACAAAGTTTGCAGGATTTTGTGCATAATTACCTCTACCGACGATCTATTCCCACAGAAAGCTCCGTTGGAGAGATTACAATGCTTTGAGCCGTACCGCATTTCAGAGGGGGAAAAAAAAAGTTACCTAGGAGGTCTGATTTTTTAAAAATTTGCATACATGCAAATTTGCCCCCCGGCCTTCTCCTCGGTTTTCTACGTGCCCACACAGTGAACTGGGAGCGCAGGGCAACCTGGCAAAGTTGCCCAAGTCCTCCACCGAGGTCCGCGAAGGTCTGCGGCGGGGCTTGGGGGATGGGGATGAGGAAAAGTAGTTTTGTTTGCTTAAGCACATCCTGTGGCAGCCTATAGCTGCCCGGGAGTACAGACTGTAACTGCTCCTCACTGCGTTACCCAGTAATGCGCTGAGCGGGGAAGCGGGGGCGGGGGGGGCAGAGGGAGCGAGAGAGCCTGCGAGCGAGGGAGCGAGAGAGGGAGCGAGCGAGCGAGCGCGAGCGGCCGCGGAGGCTCGGGACCCGGCTGGCCGCGCGGCGCCGCAGCCGCCCCCTCCCCCACGCACCCCCCCGCCCCCAGCGGCGGCGCGAGCGGGCGGCGGCTGTGCGGTGCGGTGCAGAGCGGAGGCGGAGGCGGGCGCGCGGGCAGCTCGCGGGCACCCGGCCGGGCGGGCGCGGGAGCGGGAAAGGGTGCGCTATGCCTTTAACGCCCGCGTACAGTAGACATGTATAGTGGAGTGTAGGGAAACTCTAGGCGGGGTTAAAGTTCAGCTCATGGAGCGGCAATCGCGCTGGCTGGCTGGCTGCAGTTGAGCCGAGTTGGAAATGTGAACGCAAGAAGCAGGCTTGATTTTTTTTCTCCCCCCTTCTCTCTCTCTCTCTTCCTCTCTCCCTCTTTCTCCTTTCTCACCCGCACTCACGCACACCTCCAAACCGCACACCCAGACGCACACGCACACCCCACCGCCCGGCAGTTATGTATTCTCCGCTCTGTCTCACCCAGGTAAGCAGCTGTTTGGATGCGGCGGGGTGGGGGGGGGGCGGGGTTGCGGGGGCAGACCTGGGGCTGGGCGCGGGGTACCGGGCACCGTCGCGCCGGCCGGGCCCGGGGCATGTGTCTTAGTGTGTGCCCGTGTCTGCGCGTGTTTCTGTGTGTGTGTGTGTGAGCGTGTGCTCGTGGGGGGGGGAGAGAAATACAGCTTTAAGAAAGTAACTTTGTTTCCATGCGGGTGCATTCCTCTTGCACGGCCATTTGTGTGGGCACATGGCTAATGGCGCCCTCTTATTAATGCGTTAATTAATATCGGGGCGATTGACTGCGGAACGGCGGTGTTTTCGGACGCCCCGCACGTGTTTCGGCGGGGTTGCAGCCCATGACACGCTGAAATCTGGACTCAGCGTTTCTGCAGCCGGCAGGCCGGTTTCTGTAGTTCCGCGGCTCCCGGGGAGGGGGCCGCCGACGGAGCCCACCGCGCACCCCGCACGCCCGGGGCAACTGAAAGCCCCGGGTGCGGGAGAACTCGCGACCCTGCTCCCACGGCCCGCGCTAGGAGCCCGCGCCGAGGCAGCCTCCCCAAACTCTTACTTTTGTTTATTGTTTGTCAGCCTTTGGGGTCCGGCCGCGGGAGGGACGCGGGCCGGCGTCCGGGGCCGGGCCGGGACAGCGCCCCGCGGACGCGGGCGGGCGGCTGCGAGCCGGCCCCCGGGCTCGGCTGAGCGGGGCTGCGTGGACGCGCGTCCCCCAGCGCCGGCCGGGTGGAGCCTGCGTCCTCGCCGCTCGTCGCCCGCTCGCTTTCCCGAGTGAAAGTTTCGCTGTCGGGACGAGCCCACGCTGCGCAGGGCGGCGAGCGGCGGAGGCCGCGGGCCGCGGGCCGGGGAGCTCCGGACGGAGTTGGGCTCCGGGCCGCGAGCCCGAGCAGCAAGCCGGGCCGGACGCGGCTCCCCCCGCCGCCTCCCGCCGCCGCCGCCGCCGCCGCCGCCGCGCGACTCGGGCAGCTCCGCGCGCAGGACGGGGGCAACTTTTCCCCTCCGACTCTCCTCGGAGCGTGGGTCTCTCTTGCCCTCCGCCCCTCCTTCCCGTGCCCTCCCTTTCCATCCCTCTCTTGTCTGCACCACCCCTAGGCAAAATATTGCTACTTCACGGCTCCAAATCTGGTCCCTTTTGAATATATTATTTATTTTCTTTGACTAAAAGGCATGAAGTCAAAGTGATTTTGCGCAAAAAATATTTTTGAAAAAAAGTGTAAGCTTTCATACTGTTTTGGTACATTGCAGTCTGACCATTAATCACCTACGTGAAGTTGTATGCTTCATATAAAATGTTTATTTACCACTCCCTTAAAAAAACCTGCCACCACTTACTGCTTTCATTTAGCAGGAGGTAACGGTTTAGCCGGAATACTTTATGGGTGGTTAAAAAGTATCAATAATTTTTTTTCTTTCCTCTCTAGATTCTGGTTTTATTTCTCACATGACATCCTTTCTTATTGCAATATCTAACAGGAATAATACTGGCTATTTGATCTCAGAAGACTCTGAAATGCATCTTTTATGTTGAAATGGTCTGTTTGGGATTTAGGCCTAGCATTAGTAATGGATAGCAGTTGCTTTTAGTTATTGTAAAAGTTTTTTATTTTTCCCTAACAAACTTCCAAAGTTCCTATTTTAGTAACTTGTGGAAGTATGGAATGAAACTTTTCCAACCACTTCTGGCAAGGTTCACAATTGCATATGGATAAGATGCAAAGTGTAAGAGAATTTGAATGAGTTATGACTACAGTGGAAATGCTGAGATTCAAAGGCTGAAGTTCTTTCTGGCAAAAGTTTGCAGCACAGAGAACTTGTAGACAATACCAGGGTGCTGCAATAGTGGGGCATGACCTTAGCAGACACATGAGTGTCTTCAAGTGAGCTCTCGAAAGATAAATTTATATTTTGGGTTGGTGCATGTATGAGGATACCTGTGTATCCATGCAGGCCCAGGGCATAGTCAGGTACTTGACAAAGCTGGATTCTCTTGGCTCAGGAGCTATTATCACATTAAGAAAGTTTTTTTGTTTTTTTTTTTAAACATATTTGGCAGTGTGATTGATACACGCGCACTAGGCCTTCTTCTGGAAACACCAGTAAAAAGAAACAGTGTATCAGTTTGTGAAGAAATTGCACACTAAATAGTGAATGAGAGCCATATATTTTGAGTTCTTCCTTTAAAAATTGATTTACAATTTTATTTAACTTGCTGGAATACTTATAAAGCTTTAGAGCTAGTTTTAGAAAGAAAAACTTAGGTAGCTTATTGGTCATTAAAGAAAGTCCAGTAAGCACAGTAATAGAAATACTCTAAATGAAAGAATAAACTCCATCTACATGTGTGCAATTTTTAAAACTTTATCAAGAAAATGCCAGACGTCTTCTTTTTGTCCATACAAGCGTATCATAACCAAATCATTTACCTGGCCCAGTAGAAATTTATAGGTGAACCTTTGAAAGTAGTTCCAGCAATATCAGCGTTCAGTGGTTCTTAAACTTGGCTTACTTACAAACAGATCAACATTTAAGAAGCTGATTCAAAGTCATACCGCTTTTGAAACAGGTTTTCAGGTTTGTTTTCATTGGTGGCCTATAACTTTCACACTGAGTACACATGTAAAATATTCTTTATTATCTCCTGAATATTTTGAAATATTACATAGCTTATGGCAGTATGTGCAGCAACATGATTTATAGAGGCTTACTTTTTTTTAGAATTAATTTATGCTGGGCCTTGACATTTCCTACAAGTTAATGATATTCTTTACTTTTGATGATCTGGAGTATTTCTAATTGTGAGTTGAGAAAGATGACTAGCTCTTTAATAGTACATGTGAGTAAAGTTATACAAAATATTGTGCACTTTTATTGGCACATTCTTGAAACCTTTGGGGAGTAATAAGTTGTAAATACTTTTGATGCAAAATTGGGGACTTATATTATTCTTAATGATTAGTTGACATAGTTGGCCTCATTTGAGGGCTTTTATGATGAGATATATAGGCATTTGGTTGGCAGGTAAACAAAATCCTCTTGAACACGAATGAACGCAGTTCGCAGTTCTGTGAGAAGCATACTAGGAGTCTCTTCAAACACTTAAATGCCCTGTTAGAATGTTTTTTAAAAAATGTTTATTCATATCAATGAAGCTTTTGAATAAGATAACATTTTAACATAAATGTGAATTGTTTAGAACTTAGTTGTTCTTCGCTTTATAAAATGGGCCTGAGATTTTAAAATGAAATCTTCCTTTTGGTGAAAACTCACTTTGTAGTTAAGGTAGACTCCAGGAGTTCTTAACATAATACTACAGAGCCTTGGTCCCTAGCATGTCCTGTGTATATAAGAAAATCAGTCAATGTGAAGGACTGTTTCAAACCCCAATTTTATGTATTTTAGAGCATTTCAAGGATGAGCTCAGAATTTAGTAATGTTTAAATGCTTTGCGGTTTGGCGTATACCTTATTAGATAAACTGTGACTTGAAAAAGCCCCCCATCCCACCACCACTATTTCTCTCTTTTAAAGTATGGCAATAAGAAAGATTCTTAAACATCAGAAATTTAAAATGTTTATGGTAAAGAATAATATAATTCTAGTATTTTTTTCTGCTCCCTCTCCACTTGAAGAATGCACACGTTATAAAAACTGACTTCTCTTTTGGATTTTTATTGAAAAAGAGCAGTTTTCAAAGCTAAATTTGAAATGCAGAGCCTAAAATTTGTTTAGAGAGGAAAAAGATAAATGTCAATTGTTGAAGTGATTTATTATATATTACATTAGTATGTACTTTAAAAAATAGTCATATGTAGTGTTTAGATGATTGATTATAATTTATAATATTTTAACAGACTTGATAAAATATTTTTCCAATTTTAACCACTCAGTTAACATTTGAACATTTGAAAATTTAATAATTTCTTTATAGTAATAATATTTTGGACATTGCAGTTACTTGTGCCTCCAAAGTGTATATTTAGGTGGATATTACAAACCGAAAAAGAATGTATTTTATAATATTTGTCTGTCCTACACCCTTTTTTAAAAAAAAAGTCATCAAGCATCTTTTTGGTTTTCTTATCCTCATTTATTTGAAAGTAAATAATTTATCTTTTGGGGTTTTGTGCGGCAGAGAGAAGTTATGTAAGATTAGTGTGGGTTGGTTAATCAAAAGTTAGATGTACTCAGAAAGCTTTGTGGAGGTTACTGTTTAATTTTTCTTTGATTTTATATTTATATTTCCTAAGAAAGTATCAAGTAAAAGAATCAAACATTTTCATAAGACACTAAGAAAAATTTAAATGTTTTAAATTGAATTTTATTTTCAAATTACTTGAATCTTAAGAGGTAACCGTGAGGGTTTTCCTGGAGTCTCGTAAACATTAAATGTACCAGGTTCTCTATTTCCTTGTGAGAAAAAGCCTGAAATATTAATTTCAAAAATTAAATAAAGATTCTCTTTTTAAAGGATGATTATTACCGAAGGCATTTCACAAAATTAACTGTATTTAGTTGCAACCCTCTTGTCACAATGACGCATTCTATTTACTATCTGGCATGTATGCTTTTCTTTGTTATTTTTCCCCCTTTTTTTCTTTTTGTTTCATTCCCATAGTATCAGCAAGTATGTCTTGGAAGTAGATCTTTTATTTCAGCCTGAAGAATATCAAATTCATCTTTTGCATATGCCAGATTTTTCTAAGTTTTTGACTAAAAAAAATTATATGCAACTGTAATCCTGAAGAAGGAATTAAGATGTTACCAAAATGCCTAAGACACAGATTAGCGTCTCCATGCAGTATTTTTAGAGGGAAAGTCTTTGTTTTCATTGATCGTGGAGATGATTTTTTTGCTCCTAGACTTCCATAAACATTGACTGGCATCTAGATGTTTAGGATTTGCCAATCTGGCGGCCGAGCCCTGGGTGTACTGCAAGTAGTGAGGTCAAGGCTGCAGCAGAATTAGATGTGCCTTTCTTGAAGTAGGGTTAAGATTATATATTGTTGTAAGCATTTCAGTACATTTCACTTACTGTCTAAAGGACTTGGGACCTAAGCTCGGCAGTAGATCCCGGTGCACTTTGGTGAACATACCAACACATTTTAAAATTTTTAGCCATTTTCTTCTTTGAGATTGTGAGACATGATACTGACAGTTTTCTTTCTCCCCCCCTCAGACTTCCCATAGGCATCCTCTGTGTAATTTGGGTACTGTAATGCTCGAGTCAACTTGCAAGGGAAATAAGCATTGTTTTTTGTTTTTTTTTCCAAAGTGACCATCTGAAGAAAAGTTGTTTCCTTTTGTTTTCTTGATAGTTACAGTTTTGTTGTTGTTCATTTCTCCAGGATGAATTTCATCCTTTCATTGAAGCACTTCTGCCCCACGTCCGAGCCTTCGCCTACACATGGTTCAACCTGCAGGCCCGAAAACGAAAATACTTCAAAAAACATGAAAAGCGTATGTCAAAAGAAGAAGAGAGAGCCGTGAAGGATGAGTTGCTAAGCGAAAAACCAGAGGTCAAGCAGAAGTGGGCATCTCGACTTCTGGCCAAGTTAAGGAAAGATATCCGACCTGAGTACCGAGAGGATTTTGTTCTTACAGTTACGGGGAAAAAGCCTCCATGTTGTGTTCTTTCCAACCCAGACCAGAAAGGCAAGATGCGAAGAATTGACTGCCTTCGCCAGGCAGATAAAGTCTGGAGGTTGGACCTTGTTATGGTGATTTTATTTAAAGGTATTCCGCTCGAAAGTACTGATGGCGAGCGCCTTGTAAAGTCCCCACAGTGCTCGAATCCAGGGCTCTGTGTGCAGCCCCATCACATAGGGGTTTCTGTTAAGGAACTCGATTTATATTTGGCATACTTTGTGCATGCAGCAGGTAAGTGCGATGGTGAGAAGTGGTTCCACTTCCTCGTGTGTTTCTTTTCTGATGACCTCTGTATGTGCGGGGCCATACCCGAATCCGCTTAAGTTGCAGGCCACAGTGCAGAGAGACAATGTGCTTTCAAAGGTAAACCCGAGTCAGAACAGCCAGAAGCTGCCCGTGTCCGAGGGCACACCTATATTCAGGTGGAAAAGTGTAGCTTTGAGAGGACTCTCACCAAGTTCAGTTCTTTTGGCAAGTAGTGTTATCAGAGGTGTTGGTAGTTCTGTGATATGTTTAGATCGCAGTTTTTGATGATGGGTGAGAGCTGGAATAAAGGGAATATTGTAAATGGCAAGTGATCTCGTTTAAAAAGCATGGAGTTTGGTGGTGAGGCAGTATTTTTGGTTGCTTATCTTCTGGGTGTGTTTTTAACCTACTGGGGCCTCTCGAACCCCCTGCTAATTAAGAAGAAGTGGTAAGAGTACTACCAAATTGCTGATCATTTATGAAGGAAAAAGAATCACATGAATACACAAACTTAGTAGCTTTGTATTTAGGAATTTGTCGTGTTGTCTAGGATAGCTGAGCGAGAAACAAACCAGCTCTTTAAGTAATTGATGGTAAGGTTAATCTTAAAAGTAACCAACCTGTGTGGTGCATGAATGCACCGAGAAATCGATATTGATCATTGATTCAGTGAGTTGCTTTGATTGGTGATAAGATTCATTATTGTTTCAAGGCCGTTTTCGAGGCATGTTTTACCTGTGTATATTATAGCATTCAGAGTTAGCATTCAGGCTAAAACTATTGGGCACTGACTAAAAGAATGCATTTTTACTTTGTTTCTTTTGCCTTGTTTTAGACAAAAGGTTCATTGTGTTATGGGAAAGCTCAGGTCTTGTGTAACTTGTTGACTTTTTATATGTACATATGGGCCTTGCTAGATTTTACCTTCATGGCAGTTACTTGAGCCAGATGGAAGAAAGAAGGTTGTGGAATCCTACCAGTAGGCTGTTTGGGGGTTCATATATTTATGTATTTTTTTCACAAAGGAGAAAGGTGTTACCTGTAAAATCAACACTGTACTGTTTTGCAAAATGTTTTTAATTCTAAGAATGTGAGCTTTTTAAAAAAAGAAGTCAGCTGATAGCCTGTTCTCTATTATTTTTCTCAATATATGTTTTAGAAAGAGAACTTTTGTTATCCATCTGTCCTTACATAAGAAACTGGAGAAATTAACTTTGCAAGCATGTCACATTATCATTTGCATTCTGTTGGCAGAGGATAGATGAGTATTTTAGAGGATGTGATCTGTAAGTGTTTCAAATATTTGGGTTTTGGAGAATGTATACTTAATTGTAAGGAGTTCCTGTTGCTTTCGCCTGTTCTGCATAGTGAAATGAAAAGGCAACACCTCTCAAATGACCTCTAGACAGGAACAAGTATTCCTTTCTTAATCCCCTTTTCACCCTATTGTTACTTTGTTTTCTCTATTGAAAAAGCACAGTTAAATTTTTGAAAAATTTATTTGCGTACGTAAGTGGAGGTTCTGATTGGGAAAGGCAAGGTGCAAAAAAATAAATAAATAAAAAGGATGGGAGTTATCAGTGCTTTGAGGGAGGACGCTTTAGGGTCTTGTGTTTAATCTTCTCAGTATTTCGAAAAGTAAATCCTTTATCAGTTCTAAGAAAGGCTCTAATTGGACCAAGAGAGAAAAACGTGGGTGCCCACAGGTGGTACACATCCTGGTGTGTGCTTCCTTCCAAGGCACCTCGACGGGGAATACCGGTTCCGATTTGGTCGGTTGTGAGCAGCACCCGTTCTGAGTTTTTGGTGAAAATACTTCCCTTCGAGTTGAAGAGCTGCAGCCTTCCGAGCGAAGGCCATCACGTGTCTTCTCTTTCGTCGCCGCCGACCGTCTGTCCCTTGCGGCTGCTCCCGATCGCGGAGCTAACGCGGGGCTGCTGGTGGTTTCGGGACCCGCAGGATTGCGTCGGTGGAGCGACAGGTAGAAGGTTGCTCCGGAGAGCTGGCATCCTTGCTGCTTGGAAAGAGCTGCTGACGGCAGCACGGCTCAGCCTGCCGTTCGGTTTGGCGCTCCTGGCGTTTCCCAGAATGCCTCGGAAGGGCGCCGCCGTTCCCGGATGCCGCGATGGCCGCCGTGCTGTGCTCGCGACGGGACGGTTGCGAGGCGAATAGTAAGGGCCTTTTGGCCGGGGATACTTCACATTTGATTTCAGAGATCTAGAGACCTGTTACTTGTGGAGGGGAAGCTGGTTGCCAATACAAATATGAGGTAGATGGGTCAACTTAAATACAACTGATTTGACAAGCATCTGCTAGAATCCCGAAGATTTGTAAACACTAAACAGTGTTTTTACCTCCTTAAAAGTTTTGAGAACTTGCCAGTATTGGCAGGAGGCAGAGACTCTGAAACGTGCTTCAAGAAACATGCCAAAACCATTGTGGCCTTTTCACCTATCGTGGATTCCCGCCCCCCCCCCCGCCCCTTTTACAGTGTTGTAATTTTTTTTCCCTCCAAAATGCCGTTTTCCCTTCTAGATAGCCCCCCAAATGAGACTTCTTTTTTTCCCCCTTCCAAAAATGTGCACAATAATTACTGCTTCATGCCTCGGCCTTTTCTTTGCTAGGAGGTTGAAATCTTGGGACCCACATGTAAATGCTGGAGGCTAGTGCAGAATCAATCGTTTTTTAAAAGTGCAGGTGATTTATTCAAAGACTTATTGAGATGCTAAAATACAATACCTAAACTACATTCCAATTTCCCCCCCCCTCTAAATCCAGTGGCGTTAGAACGGTGTGTATTTTGTGGCTGATAAACAGTAACAAGTGTAATGATATTGGAGTGATTCCATAAGCCTGAGAATTTTGTCTCGTTAAAAATGTAAAAGAGTAAAACCATTTTATGCCCTTCATTTGGTCTTTATTTGAGTCGTCCTTCCATAGGTATCGTATGACAACTTGAAGATATTATGGAATTGTGGCAAATGGTTTTCTTTGTGGGCGTGTAACAGTAAAGCTAATTTATGACCAGTCTTTACCAGATGATCTGTATCAGAATCTACAATATACCCGGCACGTGGCAAGGTCACAATTTAAGTTGTTAAGGTCATAACCTTAGCCACCAGGCATTTGACCTTTTAGATAAAGTTAACCTTTGTTCATTAGTAGGCACTCAACCGAGAACTTTCTGGAGAGTTTTTTTTTTTTTTTTTTTTTTTTAAACTGCGTCTGTATAACTTCTGGTAATGTAATCAGATTCTAGAAAGATTCTCAGTTTAGTTAAATTTTGTAAGAGGTTAGACTTAAAAAGAGGTTAGACTTTTTAAGGACTCATCTCTTGGATAGAGGTAAGTTGCTGTATGTACACCACAGAATGACAGAGTCACAATTTATTTTTGATAGTTATTACCTGCTGTGAGGTGGATTGAAACTCTGAGGCAGCTGTGTGGAGACATTGAGAAAGTAAAATTAAATAAATAGAATTAAATTTAAATCAACTAAGTAAAGCCTTTGTTAATTTTCCAGTGGTGTCAGGCCCAAAAGTTAAATTGCCATGAGCATCTTCACTTTTTGCAGATGAGGAATTTTCTAAGATTGGAAGTTTTTTTAGTGGCCTTAAAATTTGCTTTGAAAGACTAATAAATGACCAAAATTTGTCAGGTAATGACTGTCATTGTTAATTAGCCTAGTGGCAGAGTGAATTGAATTTGTCCTAATGGTAGCATGAGGAGTGTTAGCTGTAAGGTAGAGAGGGATCATTTTTGCAAAGTAATGTTTTAGTACAGTAGCTACTGGTTGCTTCCACGCTACCCCTGTTACCACCTTTCCTTAGTTTTGCTTGGACCAGGAATAGTAACGGTCCTGCCACTCACCGGAAGAACTGTTTGCGGTGCTTTGGAAGTCTCGTACCTGTTCTGGAAACCTGTACAGCCAGTCTTACTGATGACCCCATTACTTGAACCATATTGTTCATTTAATTATGCTGTTGTGAATGCTCATTTTCAATTATTTACATCCTGCTAGTTTTGCTCTGATATGCCACGTATTATTCCATTTCAACAAAGAGAGAGATACTCCCATTCAGGTGAATTTTAGTTTTATTTTGGCTTCGTGATTGCCATTCCTTCATATAGTAATAGAGAAAGCCGTGATATGCAGATAGACCAGATGGTCATGTTGACAGATTGAGAATTCACTTCCTACTGCTTCAGAGCAGGTGTAAGATTAGGAGTGTCTGTGTATGAGCGCGTGTGTGCTTCGTGTGCTTGTGTGTGCACATTCAGGCTGCACACAGAGGGCTGTTGAGAGCAGTGCAAATGATTTGTTTTTTAAAAAAGCTGGTACTTTAAATACAGTATAACTCTATGCATGAGGTTTTCAGTGCATACAGAATAGTTATTGTAAAAAATACTAAATGAAAATGTTAAATTGTGATAGCTTATAATTTTATGCTGAATGAGTTATGGTAATTTCTTAATTTGGGGGTAACTTACCATGTTAGTTTACGGCAGTATTGCATATCTAAAATATGTTCAAGATATTTTGTTAGCAGGCGTACATGTGTATGTGTATTTATGCTCAAGTTTAAGGCTATACATTATGTAATTAAACTTTTTCAGCACCTTAATAAACTCTTTAATAGAAAGTTATGCAGTTAGTTCCTGTGATTTATAATAATAAGCCGTATTTAGAAAAAGAAGGTGTAAGACTAATGTACAGTGATGTTTAAAATTAAAAGAGTAAGTGCCACCCTATCTCAAATTCTTACTCCAACCTTAAACTGAACTCAGGGTGGATTTTGTGGCTCACTAATCCATTCTAAATCATTGGTGTATGCACAGTTCTAAAAAATTTCATTTATCTTTTTATTTATCTTTTAATTCTTCAAAGGAAATAGCATTAACAGTCAACAAACTTGAGATAAATATGGCTTTTGTATCCTTGACGGTTTTTGGCTAACTTGAGGGTAGTAACAAGATCCTTTATCT